CTCGTCATGTCCGTGATCTCATCCGGGACTCGAAACAACCTTCGGTACATCAAAACTCATAAACTCATAATATAACCGGCATCGAAACATTAAGCGTGTGGACCCTACGGGTTCGAGAACTATGTAGACATGACCGAGTCATGTCTCCGGTCAATAACCAATAGCGGAACCTGGATGCTCATATTGGCTCCCACATATTCTACCAAGATCTTTATCGGTCAGACCGCATAACAACATATGTTGTTCCCTTTGTCATCGGTATGTTACTTGCCCGAGATTCGATCGTCGGTATCTCAATACCTAGTTCAATCTCGTTACTGGCAAGTCTCTTTACTCGTTCCGTAATACATCATTTCGCAACTAACTCATTTAGTTGCAATGCTTGCAAGGCTTAAGTGATGTGCATTACCGAGAGGGCCCAGAGATACCTCTCCGACAATCGGAGTGACAAATCCTAATCTCGAAATACGCCAACCCAACAAGTACCTTTGGAGACACCTGTAGAGCACCTTTATAATAACCTAGTTACATTATGACGTTTGGTAGCACACAAAGTGTTCCGCCGATAAACGGGAGTTGCATAATCTCATAGTCATAAGAACATGTATAAGTTATGAAGAAAGCAATAGCAACAAACTAAACGATCAAGTGCTAAGCTAACGGAATGGGTCAAGTCAATCATATCATTCTCCTAATGATGTGATCCCGTTAATCAAATGACAACTCATGTCTATGGTTAGGAAACATAACCATCTTCGATCAACGAGCTAGTCAAGTAGAGGCATACTAGTGACACTCTGTTTGTCTATGTATTCACACATGTATTATGTTTCCGGTTAATACAATTCTAGCATGAATAATAAACATTTATCATGATATAAGGAAATAAATAATAACTTTATTATTGCCTCTAGGGCATATTTTCTTCACGTGGAAGTTACAAGTTGAGAAGCTTATTACTCTTGGGTGCTTGGTACCCTTGAGCTTGTTCCTCTTGGGTGCTTGGGCGCCCTAGACGGTTGAGGTCACCTCGGAGCCATATTCCATTGTGGTGAAGCTTCGTGGTGTCATTGGGGAGTTAACCCCAACCTTTGTGGTGTTCGAAGCTCAATCATTGTGGTGTAAAGCTCCGGGCAAGCGTCGGGGTCTCCAATTAGGTTGTGGAGATCGCCCCGAGCAATTTGACGGGTTCCGGTGACTGCCCCAAGGGTTGCCAAAGTGTATGGGTTCGGTAACCGCCCCAAGGGTTGCCATTTGTACGGGTTCGGTGACCGCCCTCAAGGGTCCCTTAGTGGAATCACGACATCTTGCATTGTGTGAGGGCGTGAGGAGATTACGGTGGCCCTAGTGGCTTCTTGGGGAGCATTGTGCCTCCACACCGCTCCAAACAAAGATTAGCATCCGCAAGGGTGTGAACTTCGGGATACATCATCGTCTCCGCGTGCCTCGGTTATCTTTTACCCGAGCCCCTTTACTTATGCACTTTACTTTGTGATAGCCATATTATTTCTTGTCATATATCTCGCTATCACATAGTTGCTTATCTTGCTTAGCTTAAGTTGTTGGTGCACATAGGTGAGCCTAGTTGTTTTAGGTTTTGTGTTTGACAAATTAACCGCTAGGTTTATTCCGCATTTGTTCAAGCCTAAACCATAATTATTTTAAAATGCCTATTCACCCCCCCTCTAGACGACATCCACGATCTTTCAAGCAGCATGGTTGACATCCTTGCAGTGCGTCACACGATGGAGCCCATGACTCGAGCAACACAGGAAGGTGATGGAAGCATGTTCTACAACCTGCATCTACTCGCATATATTTGAAGTCGTGGAAGCACTCCGCCTGCTCGGCCGTGGGGTTGTCGGCGATGCGGAGATGGATAGAGCCCAGGAGGCGCCTTGCCTCGCGCGCATGCCGGGTACCCGGAGGCGCTCGAGCACGAAGGTGGCGGCGCCACCCGCCTTGTCGCCAGCGGATTGCGTCCTCTTCACCGTCCGATCTGGTAGTGCTGGTGGGCATTACTCGTGGGGCCTGGGGATGCGGCATGACCCATCGCATCAAGCGATTTGGTAGGAGAGTTGTACGGCGATGGAGCCCATTTGCGACGGTGTAGGATCGAAAGTATGTCTAGAGGGGGGGGGTGATTAGACTACTTGACCAAATAAAAATCTAGCCTTTTCGTAATTTTAAGTCTTGGCAGATTTTAGCAACTTAGCACAAATCAACTAATCAACCTATACATGCAATTCTAAGAGTATAGCAGTGGAATGTAAAACAATCGCATATGAAGGTAAAGGGAGGAGTTTGGAGGGAGCAAACGCAATGTAGACACGAAGATTTTTGGCGTGATTCCGATAGGTGGTGCTATCGTACATCCACGTTGATGGAGACTTGAACCCACGAAGGGTAACGGTTGCACGAGTCCACGGAGGGCTCCACCCACGAAGGGTCCACGAAGAAGCAACCTTGTCTATCCCACCATGGCCATTACCCATGAAGGACTTGCCTCACTAGGGTAGATCTTCACGAAGTAGGCGATCTCCTTGCCCGTAAAAACTCCTTGGTTCAACTCCACAATCTTGACGGAGGCTCCCAAGTGACACCTAGCCAATCTAGGAGACACCACTCTCCAAAAGGTAATAGATGGTGTGTTGATGATGAACTCCTTGCTCTTGTACTTCAAATGATAGTCTCCCCAACACTCAACTCTCTCTCTCTCATAGAATTGGATTAGGTAGAAAGATGATTTGAGTGGAAAGCAACTTAGGGAAGGCTAGAGATCAAGATTTATGTGGTTGGAATGGAATATTTTGACCTCAACACAAGTGTAGGTGGTTCTCTCTCAGAAAATGTATGTTGGAAGTGTAGGCATGTCCTGATGGCTTTCTCAACGAATGAAGAGTGGGTGTAGGGGTATATATAGCCTCCACATAAAATCTAACTGTTACACACAAATCACCAAACTCGGTGGGATCGAATTATGAAACTCGGTCAGACTGATTTAGTTCAAAATGTGAACGTTAGGATTTTCTGTGGGACCGACATGTCAACTCGGTGGGACCGATTCAATTAGGGTTAGGGAATAACGTAATATCAGTGAGACCGATTACACAAACTCGATAGGACTGATTTTGGTAATAAGCAAAATAGAGAGTTGGTCAGGCAAACTCGATGGGACCGATTCGCTCATCTCGGTTAGACCGAAACGTTATGAAGGGGAAACAGAGAGTTTGCATTGCAATCTCAGTGGGACCGATCGCTCATCTTGGTTGGACCGAAACGTTGCGGAGGGAAACAGAGAGGTTGCAATTCCATCTCGATGAGATCAAGATCCCTATCGGTGAGACCGAAGTGACTAGGGTTTGTGGCAGTGGCTATGTCAAGAGAACTCGGTGGCGCCAGATAGAAAATTTCGGTGGGGCCGAGTTTAACTTTTTGTTTAGGACATATATGGATATGAGAAAGTATTTGAGGATTTTTGGAGCATATCACTAAACAGTTTGAGCAAATAACTCATTAAGCAACACCTCACCCTCTTTTAATAATATTAGCTTTTCCTATGAACTCAATGTGATCTTGGATCATTAAAACTAAAATATAATCTTGCGCTTTGAGTTTAAGCCAATCTTTTGTCCTTAGCATTTTGAGGGATCTATTTTTTAATCCATGCAATAATAAGAGTTTTTCTGAAATATTTATCTTGAAATAGTATTAACTCAATGAGCTATATGTTAATAAAAATTACTAAAATCATCCAGGAATAATTGCACTTTCAAACGGCGCTTGGAAAATAGTAGCATAGCGCGGCGGTGGACGAGGAGGTTGGGAACCCTAGGCGGGTTGGGTCGAAAAGAGGAGGATGTGGCAGATGTGGGTGTCTGTCTGCGTTCGACCGAATCGGGTGATCAAACAAGGAAGATGCATGTCAAGGGAGTCGAGGGAAGCCTCGCTGGTTAATTTTCGTAGATTTTTTTATTCGCTTTTCTTAGGTGCGACGGGAGATTAACCCTGGACTGTGTGCAAGGATTGCTACGAGGTTTTTATTGATTTGATGCGGCGATTGCTACGAGGTTTTTATTTATTTGATGCGGCTTGTAGGAGTGAGGACGAGAAAAACCAAGTATAGATTAACCCTCGACTGCGTGCGAGGATTGCTACGAGGTTTTTATTGGTTTGATGCGGCTCACGATGAAGTGGGAGTGAGGATGAGAAAAACCAAGTATAGATGAGACAAAATTTAACAGATAAAAACTATCAACCGAGACATGAGAAGTAGAGATAAAGTGTTTTTGACAGTGTAGACGCTCTTATGGGTGAGCGGATGAGAGAGTATATAGAGGCACTACGTTTCAAGAAAAGAAAAGGTAAGCACTACACGTACGGTAGCACAGACATTAAGGCCCTATTTGGGACTATTCCGTTTCACCAAAATCGCTTTACTAAATTCACTCTGAAGCAGTTTCATTCAAAAATTGTAGCACTATCTAATAGAACGTTTGACTTTCATCTAGCTCTAACTTCAAGAATGAAAATTTGATGGAAATGATCTATTTGATTGATTAAGGGGAAGAAACGAAAGGATATTCATTTATTGGTGGCAGTAATGAATAATTTCCACCCAACTCCAGCTTCTAGAGTTTTTGGAGCCCCTTTGAAAAGCTTTATAAAAAATTGAAAATTGTACCTAGATTTTAGTTTTTTGAAGCGTCATATCATGAAGCTACCCCATTTGAGGTGTGTTTTCTGAAGCGGAGCTGAATTTTACGAAGCAGAGCAGTCCTAAAGAGGCTCTAAGCATACACCAACACGAACAACACCAAATCTAGCTCATACAACTATCAACACCGATCACACACACGAAGAAGGCAGAAGGAAATACCCTTAATCATTATACAGAAGGCTATAGCGAGCTCATTACAGACCAGCGAGTGACAATTTAGGTCGTACATGGTCCAAGAAGCGAATCCGTGTCAACTGAGGCGCGCAGATGTTGATGTTGCTCAGTGGTGTCCAGGGAGCTTCTCCTTGATCTTCTCCATGATGCCCTTCTTCTCGTGCGTCCCCGTCCCAGCCGGTGGCACCGTGTGCCCGGCCTTGTGCTCCTCCTGCTTGTGGCTGCCCGGGAGTTTCTCCTTTATCTTCGCCTTCATGCTCTTCTTCTTCCTCTGCCTCCCGCCTTGCCCGTCATCCTCGGACGACTGCACCACCACACCACACATAAACCATTACGCCATTAGCCAGTTATAGTGAGTCAAGTAGTACGCGTCCTCCTACGACCGAATCAAGCCCCACATGCTGAACGAGTGGAAAATGGAGTACCGAGCTGGATCTACAGCTGGAGGAGCGCCGCAAAGTCTCGCCCAGCGTCGTGTGCCCCTCTTTGGTGGGCTGGATCTGGTCGCCGGTGCCGATGCCACTGCCGACCATGCCCTCATAAGCGTATGCCGTGGTCTCGCCAGGGGCGAGGCTGCCGCTTAGCGCGCCCTCGTGCGTGTGCGCCGTGCCGGACGGGAAAACGGCACCGCCTACCACGCTCTCCTGCGGGTGCACGGCGCCGCTCAGGCCGTAGCCCGGCGTGACACCCGCTCCATAGTCGGCCGACGTCACCGCGCCCGCGCCGTCAGAGCTGTAGGGCGGAGCGGCGCCCCCCGAGGTGTACGCCGGAACCTGGCCCGGTTCCCTTGGGATGGGGTTGCCGTACTGGTCGACCGGCGGCACTGGGTTGCCGTACTCGTCGACGCGCGGGTACGGGTGCCCGTACTCTCCACCGTAGTCCGCCATTACTTCTCTCGACGGTGCTTCCTTCTGACGGGGTTTCACAGTTTGGGGCGGTGGCTTGCAAGTCAGTGTGGCACCATGATATACGACACAACGCACGTATATGTACGAGGAGCAGGGCGGCAGGGCGATAAGCACAGGGGCACCACGTGTGCATGCATGCCGCCACGAGTTCAATGTCTACCTGAGGAGAATGACACGTTTTCTCCGGGCGTGCCACGTTTTGGGCCGACCTGGGAGGAAGCACCGGCTGAACAGTGAAAGAACACATTCCAAAATATCCGAAGTTGATTGTACGCATTATGTTGGAGTATACAGTACATGCCATCGGTTCGAGTTCAGATCGCAGCCATATCTATACTTGCTGATATTTTTCTGATCAGATCAATAGACAGTGCCTGAAATATTATTAGTACTACCACAACAAGATGTCCTGAATCGACCTGATGCCTCGCGTTTATACAGATCACAAGAAAGAACCATGGACTCTCGACGGTGCTCTGGGGAAAAGCCTCGGCCGCCGGTGGCACAGGATCCGTCCCGGTCAGTTCGACGGCGTCTCCTCCGCCGTGCGACGTTCAACACGCAGGCTGTTCTCGCGATGGTAGGGTGATTTCGCGCCCTGATTTTACATGGGAAATGATCATGTAATTTCAAATTATTCAGTATGATTTTGCAACATTAGTACTACTACTAAAAGGTAAGCAAGCACACTGAGCTAGGTGTAAAAAACCAAAACTGAGGACTAAAAGGATTAGATAGATGTTACTCCCTCCGTTCCATAATGTAAGACGTTTTTTGACACTAGTATAATGCCAAAAAACCGTCTTATATTATGGGACGAAGAGAGTAATTAAGAGTAGTGCCAATAAATCAAGAACGGCGTGCTCCTCTACTAATGTCGTCCAAGTCTGTATTTGTTTTGATACCTAAATAAACTTGAAAAACCAATAAGGTTGACCCAAAATAAATGTTCCGACTCAAACCATTGCAAGGCGCTTCGAACAAACAATTCAGAAGAACACTGAAAGGCCAAAAACATACTCCCTCGTATTAAAAGTTGAGACACCTATTTTGGGACGGAGAGAGTCGTACAATACACAGCTCAATTCCAAACTTCCAGCGTGTGCACATAAATCTGTCATGAACTCGTGTTTGCTTGAGGTACATGGAGTGATGCAAGAAGGCAAAAATATTTTTTAAGCGACAAAAACAGTTTTGAACTAGTTTCCAACAGTGAAAAAATTTGTGAAATAATTTATTTGAAAGGCAAGCTTCTCCGCAGCCATACATTGATCCTTACACATGTGATGCATTTTATTTTATTTTGAAATGGAGGCAACAACTTTGCCTCATCCATCCATTAAATAAGGAGGAAACAGACAAGAGTTCACAACGGAAAATATATCACCCTAGGAAAGTATCATGTGGAAACCACTCTTCTTAAAAAACGAAATACAAACCACGTATAGATGTCCTAAATATTCTATAAACATAAACATATTTAGGGGATAGGATTTCATACTCTATAAAAATGCAAAGCTTCAATATCAGATTGAGTAGCATTTGAAAAATACAAAAGGACCAGTTCAACACGAATAGTGTGATTTCTATTTCGCGCGTATCTTTGCATTGATAGAAGAGCAGAAATTACCGGATGCAGTCCTGAGGCGGCGTACACAGTTAGGTGTCCCCGAGGATGCTAGGCGAGCAATGAGAGGGTTTGCTTTTTTCATATTTATCATCAAATGAATTGGGTTTGACCTTGAAATTTTACAGGTTTACAGAATATCAACTTCCTTGCACTTATTCAGGAGGATTTACGTATACCTTCCAAGCAGATTTTACGCAGGGGGTGGTTTCCACAGTTCCACTTCATGGATTACTCAGAAAAAATAACTCCCAAAGCAGTACAGAAACGAAAAGAGTTTTTTTTTACTTGGATTAGCTTGTAATTTCTGTCCGAACACACTACCTGGAGAAGTAACAAGGTTAAAGTAACTTACTTGGAATATTGTCCCCAGCTTTTTCAGTCCTTTTGCTCGCAACGTGAGAACATCTTTGGAGACAGCATTCTCTCTCAAAAACTAGACAAAGAAGTAAATATAAGCATGCATGCATGCTACTGTAAACATCAGGAACGAACAGAGATGGACAGTGCTTACTGCTCGACAGACACGCCATAACGTTGACTCAATGTCAACCACATTAATTTTCCACAAAGAATTAAGCATGGCATCCTTTTTCTCCTCAATACTCTTCAGTATCTGCTCTTCCTTGTTGTCACCATCCTCAATCTTTTTCATCCCCTCTTGTAATTGTATCAGAGCAATTGCACCTATAATAGAGCTTGTCATAGGATCAGGCTCATTGTTAACAGAAAGGAAGTAAATTGACCAAGGTAAAATAACATACTGAGATGTACCTGAAGCTGCATTAACCTGTGACTTTACATGGTGGCCCTTGTCCCTTACCCACTCAGCAATGAATGGCACGCCCATATACATTTTGCTTTTTCCAAGTTCTCTTGCTGCTTGTCGAACATATATGTAGCCAATGGTGTGAAGCATAGCCTCACCAAAAGCTGAAATATTATTTTACACGAATGAACCCCCTGAGAAGCTCTAATAGGATTCGTGTCATGTTCATAACGAATGATAGTGAGCCTTCTGTATGTCATGCTACATACTTAAGCAATTAAGTGTCCTAGAAGCACTTCTTTTACACCTCAGAAACATAAAGTAATCAGAAAAAATTATAGCAGGAGAAGGTAGGTATCGAAATGAGCATATGTGGAGCCACACAACTTGAATGAATTTCCTAAGCTTCTAAGAAAATGTGGATACCGGCTTGAGACAAGCGTTCAGCTTCTGCACTTGCCCAGTCGCCAAATTCCTTTTGCTGTCCATCGACGTATGGTTGAATTCGATTCTTAAGGCTCAGAATAAGTTTTTGCTCTCTTTCCGTTTGCAACAACTGCAGTCCAGATAAGCTACTAAGGTGCTGGTGTCAAACAATAGCAAGTTTTCAGCGAGTAACTAACTATTATGAGAGCAGCAAACCTTTATTTTCTCTTGAATCCTTGCCCTTGCCTCTGGACTACCCGAATCTTCCTCACTCTCCACGGAAGCCACGGATGCCAATGCAAGCTGGCCAACATAATCTTGAAAGTAGTCACTCCCAAAAAGCATCCCAAAGACAGTAGTTGGATCAATCATATTATCCCTGAAATATCGTTATCAAAATTCAGTGGCACCTTCAATTAAAAGTCTGTCAGCAGGATAATAAAATGCACATGCAAGTTAAATCGACATTTTGTTGCAATTAATTTTTTCTTAAAAATTTGCTTGCTGTGTGTTGTACTATATCAAAAGAGTAGAGCTTAATATCTCAATACATTTATATAGTATGATATAAATACTAAATGAGTACAGGACTTACTGGGATAAACCTTCTTTTCCACGCTTATCATAAGACTCCCTTTTCGCAGGATCACTTAGGACTTGATAGGCCTCACCTAACTCCTTCCATATAATTAATCAATATAAATCAGTATCCGTACCGAGGTAGTAACCCTCCAAATTACAAAGACAATGGGACTAGGCTTTTTTCACAAAAGTGGAATGCGTACAATATTATGAAACCTTAACACCAAAGAAGAGTTCGATCCAATGCTTTATTTATGTCTTGGTAAACCAGAACAGGTCATTTGTTCCGTCGTCTAAAAACCATTTTTGCGTGCACAACTGCAATAGCCTTTCTTAGAACACAGCTTTTTCTTTTTCGGCTCTGCATTCCTGACGCAATAGAACAGGAGCGGAAAATGTACCTGAAACTTTCGCGCGGCATCGGGGTTCCCGGGATTCTTGTCCGGGTGAACCATCTTGGCCTATATAGAAACCCAAACAGTTAAATCAAGAGCCGTCAGCATTCGATCGCTGAAGGATTGGACACGCACCTTGAGGTAATACGCCTTCTTGATCTCGGCGGCGGCGGCGTCAGTGCTGACCCCCAAGGTGTCGTAGTACGCGGTGTCCTTCACCATCGCAGCTCCCTCTGCTCCTCCTCCTGGACCTGGATCGTATTGCAGCTGGACGGACGCCAACCTGATGATAGGATGAGAGGGGCGGATGGCGCGGATACCATTACCGAGATCGATTATCTCATCGGGGAGAGGTAGCTAGGGCAAAGGGCAATCAAGAATCGGAAAGGCCGAGGAGGGACTGGGTGGTTTTCTCACTTGGCCAGGCGTCCCGAGATTATGGGGGTTGGGTTGATTGATATGTGATGTGATTGTGATCGACGCGGGGAAGGTTCCTCACTTCCTGGGTCCGCGTGATCGGTCCACACGTCTGAATTTTTGCAAACCAGAATCAAAGCTGAAGGAGGTTCGTGGACGTTCGGACTGTTAGATGTGTATAGTCTTTTTTGGTTTTTTCCTATTGTATAAAAAGCTTTCTGCACTTTACCATATACTAGTATAAATGCCCGTGTGTTGCACCGGGCAAAAAAAAAAAGCGTGAAATACTTTATATGCCATTGTGCACCATTTTTTATATTCAATTTTAATAAACGCCAATGATAAGGTTAAACGTGGAAACTTTCTTATTTTTAATAAAAGTTAATGATTTCGTTAAAAAGATGAACATTTTTAAGAATAGTTATGTTTTTATGAAATTCGAACATTTCTCAAAAATATCATTTTTTGAACAGATTTTGTTTTTGTTGTAAATTTCTAAATCAAAATATTTTTTAGTAAAAATGGATCATTTTTTGGAATTTTTAAAAACTACGTTAAAACCCGATATTCAAATAAAGCTATTGAGAACATATAATGTATAACCCGCCTTGTTAATTCCAAATCAAATAAAATTGAGCGCTGGTTGCACTTATAAGAATATAATACATTTAGTTGATGGATTACATGCGACAAGCTTAGAGAACACAATTTATTCTAAAAACCTTTATCTAAATTTAGCAATTGAAACTTGCGTTATTCATGATCGTACAAATACAAACTGTGACTCTGTTCTTGTTTGGAATTTTCATTTTAGACACAACAATATAGAATACTACTTATATTATATAAGTAGTAGCATCTATGAAATTTTCCAAGATATTTTGTATAGTTTTGAGCACCAAAACATTTAGATTATGCTAATCCTGAGAAGCTTATGAAGTAGTAGATGAGAAAAAGGTATTCCAACCAATTTTGTTTGTTTTTTATTTTCTTTCAACCTCTTCTTTTACCACTGACCAGTGGGTCACCTGGGTCAGTCCAGCAGCGTCACGTCCCAAGGGACATGCGCCCACAACCCCTTGCCCGGCCTCCTCCATTCCACCACCTCACTCTTTACCTCCCTCCCTCCCTAGATCCCCTTTCTTGTCAAGCTTCCTGGGGATGCCGCTGCTCGCCGTTGCAACACCAGCCATAGGGACCAGCGGGATCCGCCAGCCGTCAGTATGGATCGACGTCCACGCCTCCAGCTCCGACCTGCACGCCCGCTGGACGCCGCCTTGAACCATCTCGTTTCTCCGGTGCGTTCTTGCTCCTAGGTAATTCCCTAGCTCCATTGTTGCTCCTGCAGTCCCTCTAATGGTGATTCCGGGCGCCAAGGTGCAAGAATGTCTTGAACCAAGGCCGCCTTTCTCGGATTCTGTCGGCCGCTGTTGCGATGCCGCGGCGGTCCTCCTCCCCGAGCAGCTCCAGGGACCGTGTCGGGCTCTACGTCGTCCGCGTTTCCTTTGGACCACGGACTCGAAGCCGCGGGTCCCTCCTACTTCTTCCTCGAGCACTGACCGCCATTGACGCCGTTTGGAACTCGCTGTCGTCCGTCCTCTCGCCTCCCTGCTCCGTACGACCCAGCCATGAATAGCAAGGTGAGGAGTCACCTCTGCCTGCTGTTGCTACTGCCGCTTGCTGCTGGCTTGCTTTGCTGCTTGCTGTTGTTGCCGCTGCTGGCTGCTTGCTTTGCCGCTTGCTGCTGCTGGATGTTTTGCTTGCGGCTGTTGCTTGCTTTTGTTGCTTGCTGCTACTGGTCTTGAGCTACGGGTAAATGAGAGAACGAAAGGAAGTTATACATTTGTGCTGGGAGATGGCCATATTAAGATTCACCTAATGGCCATGTTTCAGTACCGTTTAATTTACTTGTTCATCATACTAAGGCTAGTCTTTCATGTGCATAAAAGTTCCAGAAAATGCTCAACTTGCTAAACTTGTAAAATCCATAACAAAATCATTCAAGTTTCTATTTGGAGTAGTACTGATATGGAGTTGGATGGTTTAAACTGTACTGTAGCAACAGAAAACATTAACATAGTCAATATTATTGCTTGGAAGTAAAAGATCATGTACTTTAACAACACGTCTTTAGATCTTGTATAAAAATTCACAACTTGCATTCCAGGACTCCAAGAAAATGTTGTTGCCAATTTCAGTATCTTCATTTTCATCTTACTGCATGACATCACATGCATTTCATGCTTTGTAACCAGCATGTACTTCCTAAATATTCTTAACTTTGTTTGACATGTACTTGGATTAATTAATATGAACACAAATAAGTGAATTGTGAGGGTCGTGGTTTGATGCTATGGTCGGGTTGGGGTTACCACCAATCGCATCTCTCCCTTTACCCATTGTGGGAGAGTTCGTTTTGATGGGACGCATTAGTCATGGTCGGCCAACCATTGTCTAACCCCCTATAGAGGCACTCCCCGGTGGACGTCGGATGATGAGCCCAATGTCCAACTGAGATAAATTCTGATAAAATTTTATTTGATTGATATGAAGTATATATCACGATGATCTTGCTATGGATAATGGGAACCTCTGGATTCCATTACTCGACGGGCACAACACATTGCTGGCCACCAACACACATAGGTGTTCGGCACAGCCGGAGTGGTTCCTGACCACTCCCCATTGCAAGCAAGTGCATGGAGTGCGACTACTTTATTCTGCCATAGTACTACTTTTTCACCTGTATTTATTGTCTATTTATCTTCCTCATTATCTTTAGCCTATGTTTGTGGACGTCGTCAGTGTCGGCGGCCACGGCAACGGACTACGGCAAGGGTGCTTTGTCGGCCGGCCATGACTCTAGCTCAGCTTGGCCACATCCCGACGCTGCTTTCTCGTGAGTGAGCTCCGCTGACTGGCCATACCTCTAGCCCGCGGCCATGCCTCAAGCTCAGGTTCTTCTTGGAGCTGAAGATCTCATGTATTGCTCTCACATGTATTTAGTTATTCCTCTTCCTCATCATCTTGAACCTACTTATGTTAAGAGCGCATGTGCTGGCCGTAGTAGGCCACGGCCGACCGGCCATGCCTCACGCTCAGGCTCAGCTTGGAGCCGAAGACCTCATGTGCTGTCGTAGCTTATACTGGGCTCATTTTTGCCAGCCATGCCCGCACTCAGCTTGGCCACCATCCTCATGTACTTCTCTGTTATATTGAGTAGGTTGGATGTAAAAAAGCAAGGTGGGACTATTTATTATCTGAATCAATCTTTATATTACAAATAACACATGCTTGCTCGGTTGGCTCTGCTGTTTTTGCTGGGTGTTAGGTTTAGAGTTCGAGTCTTGTCACCAGCAAGTATTTTTTGCCTCAGACGGGGATAGGTGGGCTGGATTAATTGGGCCAATTTGTGCGCGTGCGTAGGCCCACCTGGGGCGCCAGAAAGGCATAGGCCCAGCCAGGGGCGATCGCGAGCAGGGGACGGATGTACGAGAACGGATCGAGCGGAAAGCAAGGGTCGACGACGTACGACCAGAAGCACTGCGTGCTTTATTAGTAGGGAAAGATGTATATGTATAATGGTCTTTGGCCCTTAGTGAATACTAGTTGCTGTTTATCTAACATGGTATCAGATGGTAGGTTAGCCTCTTGTTTCCGCATGATGAAACTCCGTGCGTGCTCTCGGTTATGCTCGTCGCCGGTCGCTATCGCCCGGATCTGACGCTCTCAGCCAAGCTCCTTGCGTCCCCGCGTTGCTGGTTCGCTGCCGTTCTCGCTGGCCACCTCGTCCACCACCAGCTGTCGGCGCCGGCCCAGCTTGTCTAGTCCGGCCGGCTTCCTCCCATGGCCGCCGTTGCCATCTGCTCCGCCCCGGCCACCTCCTGCCCCTCCTCCGCCAGGCCGGTGGCCGCCCCAGCTTGTCTAGCCCGGCCGACTTCCTCCACCAGGCCGCCTTCGGCCCCTCCTCCACCGGTCGTCCCCAGCCCCTCCTCTGCTCCGGCTGCCCCTGGCCCCTCCTCCTCGATCTCCAGCAGCCGCGGCCCTGTTCGCTCATTTGCTGCTGGTTTCCCGATCCAGATCGAATCCTCTCTGAAGGTTGACCAAAAAAGGAGAAAGCAAAAGGGATGCAGCAAAGAGACTTTCTTATGTCTTCTTCGGGCTATGTCGTTGTCCCTCGGTGCGCGGTGATTTTCGATGACACCAACTATGCTGAGTTTGCGGGTTTCATGCGTATCCATATGCGCGGTCTTCTGCAGTGGGGCGTTCTCTCTGTTGAGGTACCTTGTCCGCCCTGCCCTGTTGCTCTTGTGGCTCCTACCTCGCCGGTACTGCCGCTGCTTGCGGCTGATGCTTCTCAGGCTGATCGGGATGCAGCCAAGGCTCTTGATGATGATGCAGTTGATGCTTATGATCAGCAGGTATCTGCCTATTCTGATGCTCTTTTCGTCTACCGAGATGATCTGTTTGCTTACACTCGGTGGTGTATGAAGGAAATATGCCCTAGAGGCAATAATAAAGTTATTATTTTATTTCCTTATATCATGATAAATGTTTATTATTCATGCTAGAATTGTATTAACTGGAAACATAATACTTGTGTGAATACATAGACAAACTAAATGTCACTAGTATGCCTCTACTTGACTAGCTCGTTAATCAAAGATGGTTATGTTTCCTAACCATAGACAAAGAGTTGTTATTTGATTAACGGGACCACATCATTAGGAGAATGATGTGATTGACTTGACCCATTTCGTTAGCTTAGCACTCGATCATTTAGTATGTTGCTATTGCTTTCTTCA